AATCATCGCAATGTTGCCATTGTCGTAATGTGCTCATTGCGCAGATATAGCTCCTACCGTATATACTCGCCTATAAGTCGGTTGTAATTTTTGACGTTATTTTGGTGGGATTTGATATTGACTCGATTATAAGTCGATACAACTTTTTTGCCAAAATTTGGTGACAATTTCAAGTAAATCCATTGATATTTTAACCTGGTTTCAATTATTATTTTTCGAAATGACACTGATATTTAATCTTAAATTATCAAACATAAAGGCAATGACACTTCAAATGCAAATAAAATTATTATAGGATTAAACGTTCTTTTTTCAGAATTTATCGATGTGTAAACTCTGCCTTTTTGCTCACAAACTGAATAAAAGTGCGAAGCACTTTTATGTAAAGTTTGTGAGTAAAAAGGCAGAGTTTACACATCGATAAATTCTGAAAAAAGAACGTTTAATTCTTATAATTCCAATTACGAAGTTTTTAAATTATCAAAATTATTTCCCTTTGAGGCCGCCATACAATCCGTTATTTTGTACGGCGTAGGAATACTTTAATGCCACCGATGCCACAAAGAAACGTGTACAAGATGAATATCGATAAAATCCAACTTAAATTGTCAAAACAATCAATAAATAAATTTATAAAAATTCATTGAATGTTGTTTAAGTCAACAAATATCGTAAATACGCGTATTCTCCAGAATAATTCGTCCTTGACCATGGCCATGTTGACGTCATGACGAAAGTTGAAGACCGACGACGTCCTCGATTTGCTCTGGTTCGTTCAAAGATTTAGGGAGAATATGGGATCTGTAGGATGTAAACATATGAATTTGATGCCAGAAAGGCAAGAGTCTGAGGTACGTTTCTTTTCCCTATCACAACGATACCAACTGAGCTGATATGGAACGTCGAGAAAATGACAGCATGATCAGCGAGTTTTTAAAATTCACACTCGTGATGCGACAGTGACATAAACATAATATTCCCGTCTGTCAGTCCTTTTTTATTCATTCGATCATTCATTTATTTTTTATTTCAAGTTTCTTGTAGCTAAAACGGACTAGAAGTATCTGTTTTCATTGTTTTTACAACAGTCAAGAAAGTAGTTCTGATTGAAGAATTCATCGATGTGTAAACTTTTTCTTGAATTTGTTTTCGTCCAATCAGAACACAGGGAATCGATAAATAAAATTAAGATTGGAATTATTAAAATATGTACATACTTGCACTTTATATATATAATCTAAGAATACATAAATTATCTTATATATCCAGACACTTTCTTTGATAATCGTCTGAAATGCAAACTAGTGCTAATTGTAACGGGGACCGTTACAGATGTTCCCCAAACGCTCCCCAACTCCCTTTTATAGTCATATTCCCTGTAAGCGTAATTAAATAAGACAAAGTCTATGCATTTGAGACTTTAACAACGTTTACCCAAAAGTGTACTATGTTCATTCAAATTTTATCATTGCACACTTACACATGTTAATGCATGTGCGTAATGACCATATCATATTGTCTACACGATCTATATATTTTAATATGCTAAATATCAAAGTATTTAATCCAAAAGTATAAAAAAAAACGCTCATTCAAGTGTTTTTTTTATTTTACCCATTTCACGTGCACGCACGTGCATACATGAGTATGGTGACCATACCTTCTTGTAGAAGTCCATTACATCTATCTATGTTCTAAATCTCACCCCATTTGGTTGAAAACCAAGGGAGTTATAGCTATTTAAAGTTTCAGCCAATCAGATTGCAGCGCACGTACACGCACATGTATGCATGTGCATGGTAGCCATACCTTCTTGTAGAAGTCCATTATATATATCTATGCTCCAAATCCCATCTTGTTTGGTTGAAAATCAAGGGAGTTATAGCTGTTTTAAGTTTCAGTCAATCAGATTGCAGCGCAAGTACACGCACGTGTATGCATGTGCATGGTGATCATACCCTCTTGTAGAAGTCTATTATATGTATCTATGTTCCAAAACCCATCCTGTTTGGTTGAAAACCAAGAGAGATATAGCTATTTGAAGTTTCAGGCAATCAGATTGCAGCGCACGTGCATACACGTGTTTTCATGATAATTGCTATATATCATGTTGTAGGATATCGTAATGCATGGCTATGTTGAAAATTTCAAAGGATTTCGTCAAAAAACAAGAAAGATATTGAGACTTTAGTTTCAGCCAATCAGAGCAAAGCGCACGTACATGCGCGTGAGATCTTGCTATTTTGACCATGTCATCTTGTCTATACTACTAATATATCCTTACATTATGAGTTTCAAAGCATTTCATCAAAAAATAGAAAAGTTAAGTCAATATATCTTATATTGGCCATTTAACGTGTTGCACTTCTCGCTCTTGCAAGCACGTGCGCGCAAAATGACCTTCGTTCGGCAAATCTACATAACATCCCTAGTGACCCTAAAAAGGTTTTACCTAAGTCGGATGTGTAGTTTACAAGATCACTCAAAGACAAAATTTTCCCAGGAATAATAATAATAATAATAACTAGAGCAAAGCTCGTTGCAGAGCAACGATTAGGTCTTCCGTCCGGTTTTGACCGGAAGTGCCGAAAGTGACATCAAAATAGAAAGCAATGAGCTAAGTCGTCTCCAGTGACTTTATAATTTCAATTTTGCATCAAAAACTTTCAAAATAAGCTATTATTGGCTACTTCCGGTTTGACCGGAAGTGACGCCGACGGACGGAATATTAATTTTTACGCTCCCAGAGACAAATGTTATCCAAAAACTTGTCAAGAACGGCAAAAATACGCGTTTTCCGACTACTTCCGGTTTGGCCGGAAGTGACGACGCCGGACGTATTTTGACGACTCCCATAGATAAAGCGTGACATTTTAAACAACTTTGCTTCTTTGATGTGTTACAAATTCTCAATACTTTTTGAGATATAAAGAAAAAACTTTCGGCCCCTCTAGTCCCTTAATTTTAGGGGCCAGCCCTTTTTTCGAGATATCATTTGAAAGATCTTGGAATTCTACACTTCTTTTGTTCTATATGTTTTAACAAAATATTTCCAGGTAAAAAGATATCGTAGAAAAGGTGGTAAAAATTTTGAAATTCGTGATAGGACTATTTTCGCGCCATACCGAGCGCCAACGTGCGGCACTTCAGATAAAAATGAAATAAATTTTACATATCTATAGAATTCGGACTATCATACCTGAAATTCTCACGTTTCTATCTATAGCCATTTTTTAGAACGTTCGAGGACAATCTGACCCTTCAAAAATCATAAAATCGACAATATCTCCAAACCGGAAGTGACGTCATCAAATCGAAAAAAAATGCATAAGGTTCAAGTAATGTTACATAAGTCCTGAAAGTTTCATGGAAATCCAACGAGCCATTTCCGAGAAATTGCGTGCACAAAATCGGTAAGAAAAAAAAGAATAATAATAATAATAATAAAAGTGAAAAAGAAACCTAAGAATAACAAGAAGGTCTTCCGCTGAAGACGGAAGACCTTAATAAGAAACAGAGTAAAAACAATATGTTCCCCAACTTCGTTTGGGGAACATAATAAGATATTACCTTTTAGCCCCCAGAAAAATACCTGTCTCTTTATGACTCGCCTATAAGTCGGATATAGAGTTTTAGACCAATATTTAACTCCCAAAATACCGACTTATAGGCGAGTATATACGGTAATTTAAATTTTGTTTTTTTTTTTTTCTGGCTAATTTAATAATAAAATAACTTTCCTTTTATTTTATTTTGTTGTATTACGCCTACTATTTCTGCATGATAGTATCTTAATGGTGACATTTTTATTAAAATACCATAATGTGCTCCACCATGACTTTTCAAATCTCGCTTTTCCAGTTTGGATAGTTTCATAATAGAATCTCTTTACCTGTACTTTTGTTTTTGAAATTTGGTGACAGATCTTTCTTAGGACGAAATTCGGTTAAATGCTTTGATCTTCAAGAAATTTGAAAACATCTCCTAGGGACCCAGTGAGGACTTTACATCAAGGAAACATGAAAAAATACTTATCAAACAATCTAAAAATTTAATCGATACATCAGAAGAGGAATTTAATTTGTACTACAATTTGTACCCCCGAAATAAAATTAAAAAAGTGTATAATTCAAATACCTAAAGTATGGAGAAGGTTGTTTTTCGTTGATAATTGAAGTTTTAAAATATTTTTATTTCCGAAGTTTTGAATTGTATTTCTGATATTTTTGTTTTGTTTTCATTCCCGACATTTTTAAATTTTCATATCTATTATTTATTTCTTTACATTTCCGGAATTTTTGGAGGATAACTTTGCAGTAATTTAAAATTAACCAAGAAGGAGAATGTAAAAAATTAATAAAATATAGACAACCACTTTTTCCAATGAAATAACGTTACAATACACTGTGTATATATGAAGGACTAGGTCTAGTTAAATCATTTGCATGAATTCAAAGAAAATGCAGTTTTTGTTCTCTAAATATAATACATGTCAGGAAAGTCCACAATTCCGTTTTCATTGCGGGTGAAACGGGTTGAAAATTGAGCGGTTCCTAATTTTTTTACCTAAACTACTACATGTACATGTATATAGATTGTAATTAGGCATTTTGAATTGTTGTATAATGAAACCAAAATGTGTTGGTTTTAGACCCTAGCCCCATGAAAAATGAGCTGCATCATGGAAATTTTCATCAAAATTTTAAAGAAAACAATTTCCTCCCATTTCTTTGGGATTTTCAGTGTTTGCAAGCTTTTCAAAATGATATAATATCTTCCAGTTGGCAAATCCTTTGTATTTTTTTTATTGTGCATAAAATGTAGAAATATCAAGATGGAAAGTCAATAAAACAACAAAAATCGGGGGCAGAACAAATAAGGACCTCTAAAATGTCAAAGTTCTGATCAAGTGCTATGGAGGAGAAAACATCCCCTGTCGACCGGCCATATTAGTCGTGTAATCCTTATCAAGAGTAGGTAGAAAATCCTTTGGTGAAGTAATGGTCCAGCAATTGGTAAGTTAAACATTAGTTAGCAATTGACTTAATAATGAAATGTACCTGCTTCATGTTCGTTGTATCTTCCACGGAACTTGCGAAATGATGACTTTAAACGAGACTGTTTACATTTGTGTTTCATCATCTTATATGCCAATAGCTTCTTTCGCTTTAGAAATTGTTTGTTCCTAGACCACACTCTTCTGTTTCGAATCAACGGATAGATATAACCACAAGCCGGTGATATTGCTTCAACTTATGTAGGTCATCATTTCGTAAGTCCTATGGTCGATACAATGACCTTGTCAGCAAATACAATTTATCAATGGTCAAATTACTGACTGACGTTTTTCATACGAATTGTTAGTCCATTATTTACTCACTGAATTGACGCCGGATTTCTCCGTTATTTCCAAAACATGACAAGGAGCACACGGCGGGTGTGAGCGGTCGGCAGGGGATGCTCACTCCTCCATGGCACCTGATTCCACCTTTGATGATCTGGAGGTACACGTTTGGTCTGCTCCTATTTTGTATTGTTTTATAGACTTTTGATCTTGAATACTTTTCGTTATCTCTATATGTTTCATTAAATACATAAATTAAAAAAAAAAATTGGCAGTTTGCCTTTCATGAGTTTTCATGAAAGGGTTTAAATTTTCAAAAGGAGCCACATTTGTATTTAGATTAACATTTCCTATATTTTGCAATGAAATAAGAAATGTTTTTCATCTTCTGTCGATCCATCTTTACATAAAACAATAATGTTCTTGTAGCGGTTCTAAAACGGCATGTTTCTATTCGTAGCGGAAGGATACCACATCTAATCTTAGCCATTATGGAGCGTTCTTGTTTTTTCATGTCCATCTTTTTAAAGTTCCATTTCAAACTTATTTTTAAAAGTCATAAATGTTCTCAATTTAGGTAACGACAATATTTTTCAATTTACATTCTTCTTTGCAAAAATTTACATTTGGTTTGATTTAATTATAAATGACATATAGATATACGGAGGTAATTTGTATAGAGTTCCTTTCATTTGTGAACACCATGCCATGTTCCATTATTTTGAAAACTCCCTAAGAAAACTTTATTGGTGAGTCTTTCATCGTTGAAACAGCTTAGGTCGAGTAACAGGCCGAAGCAAGTATTTTCTCTTCCCATGTGTAAGTTTTTGAATAAATAACAAATAACGAGAAGTTTGTTTCGATGAAATTCTAAAACTAGACAAATATTGTAAATCAGAAGCTTAGGCATCTTTGTTATATCTTTTTGATACTTGTATGTACAATCAAAATGTTTTAACAAATAAATTTATTTAATATTATTCATTTGAAATATGTGGAGATAACAAACAGTATTCGAGCACAAATTAAGACTCAATATATAAATGAGTCAGATGACATGGTAAGTAAATTTACGAGTTTTATTGAAAAAGTAGCCTTCAGGCTTCTTATTTTCTTTTTACATCATAGACATATTTATATATTTCTGTTGGAGATTTTACTATTTTGCAACAAAAAAAAAAAAAAAAAAAAAAGGATATGGGGTGTGGGCTACATTTCAAGGAACATTTTCAACAGTAAAGGTTATGTTTGGAAAAAAAGTTCCTTTTGAAATAAAAACATATTGTATTTTGCATAATTGTAAAGAACATAAATACTGTTCTCCTCAAACAATCCCCTCTGTATTCCCGTGAAGAGGTCCCTACTGTTTAAGCTAAAAAGAAAAATAGCCCTTTAAATGTTAGGAAAACTTACTGAAACACATAATCATTATTCAAGAAGCCGATATTTTTTCCTAAATTTTATTTTAGAAAAAAAGTGATTTTGATTATTAATCTAAAAGATTAAATACACAGCAATATATGCAAGAAAAAGATATCTTGTTGTAAATTTTGAATTTACTATGGGGAGGTAAATGCAAACTTTACAACATGATATCTGTCAAAATTTACAACATGATAAAGGGACAAAAATAAAAAACAAAAACAAAACACGGACTTCTGGAAACATCATAGGTAAGATCAGGTGCATAGGAGATGTAAACATGCCCTGACAATCTGACACATTTAATTTGATCTCTGTTTTAAAAAGATAACAATAGTTCAAAGTTTAAACTGGTTACAATCAGGTCCGTGTAACACTTAACAAGTCACATTTCTAAAACGATTCTGAGTTTTAGCAGATTTCTAACTTTCAAAAACTCAAACTGATTTCGTATATTGAAATTTAATATTTTAGTTTAAAAATCTAAAAGTTCAAAATTTCCAAACAGGTTTTAAAATTTTAATATTTTAGATTTTTACCTTAAATGTTCAAAATTCAAATTTCCGAAAACGATTTTTGGAATTTAAACGTTTGAGTTTTAAATCTACCGTTTGCTCAGAAAGTTTACACTTAACAATATAAAGTTCGGTAATGTTTTTCGTGTTTTGTGTATTTGAAATTAGCTTCAAACTTCTAAACTCCAACTTTGAAATGTTTCAGATTTTTAGAAATTTAGAATTTTGATTCAAATGTTCTCATTTCAATTAACCTAAACACTATGAGTTTTTAGAATTTTACTTTAAATATATAAAATTTAAACCAGTTATGGAATTTGATATTCTGGATATTTCAAGTAAACTACTAAAAACTCAAAATGTACAACAGTGTTTTGGTTATTTAAAAGTTGAGTTTTTAAATCAATATTTTAAATTTCTAAAAACCTATAGCGTTTGAAAGTTGGAAGTTTGAAGTAAATCTTAAATAATCAAAAGACGAAAATGTTATCGAGTTTTAAATTGTTAAGCGTAAACTTTCTAAACAAACGGTAGATTATAAACTCAAAAATCTAAAATATAAAATTTGTTTTTGGAAATTTGAATTTTGAATATTTAAGAAAAAATCGAAAAACTTAAAATTCTAAAACCTGTTTGGAAATATGGAAATTTAGATTTTTGAAGTAAAATGTTAAATTTCAATATAACAAATCAGTTTGAGTTTTTGAAAGTTAGAAAATTGAACTGATATATCAACATTCTAAAACTCTAAATCGTTTTAGAAATTTGAATTGTTTAGTGTTACACTGACCCATTCATCTTTAGTAAAAGACCTAACTGTGGAACATGAAAAAACTGTATGTTTCCTTTATTTCGAGTACACACACACACAAAAGGATATAGATATTGTTTATAATTAAAAGACGTCATTATTTCAAAATGTCAAATTGAAGGTTACAAAAAAATTTAATCTAGATCCAGCGTTATATACGCACAAAGGTTGATTTGCATGGTATAAGAAGTAATCTATGATGTCTTGCAAAGGAAGCAATCATTATTGCATAAAATATGAAGTAAACACAATTAAAGCACAAAAGACAAAATGTAATATTTTCTAAATGCCATTATGTCTATAGATTAATTAATAAAAGCAAGATGTGTTTGTGAAACACTGATGCTTCCGTATGCAGCTTTTGGCAAGATTAAAAATGTTCAAATGCAAACCAAACTATAAGGTTAAGTAATTAACAAATGCTGATACCCAAATAAATCACATGTCTCAATAAAAATACCCGTGAAATATGATTTAAAAAAGAAGAAATACATTGAAATCAATTAAACTTACTACAACTATTTGTATATGTATTTATTATTTATGTATACTAATATTGTAGGTATTTATACATTAAAATTATTAAGATAATTCCTATTTTTGCATTAGAGAACACCAAACAGTGAAGCAATACAAGAGGAAGCGGAGCTATATCAATCGTTACTCCGCACTATCCGTGAATATGAGAAGAAACAGAGTCCAAACACCAACGAGGTTAAAAACAAAACCCAACCCGGAGACGGTGCAAAACTCATTGAGGAAGCCCTGAAGGTAATGCTATTGGAGAATTTTTAATTGTACACGTGAATTTTGTAAATTGTGTAAATAATGGTTCAACAATTAGTATTTACTTAAAAACATCAGTCAGCATTCAATGCAATGATAGATTGTACTGACATCGTATCGACCATAGAACTTGCGAAATGAAACTTTAAGCTGTTAATATCCTTGTTTCATCAACTTGTATGCCAGTTGCTTGCCTCCTTTGTTCATACTTAGAGCATGCTCTTGTATATCGAATAAACTTGGAAACATAAATCTATATGCAGATTATAAGGGTGAATTGCCAATCCGAAAGATTATTTGGAGACCTGGTCTCTAAAAACCACATAGATATTGTCAATCAGAAAAGTATTTTATAAGTGATATTTAATTATTACAGGGTAAAGTGGATCCGAATTCTGACGTCGTCAATCTTCTGGAGAGAATGTTCGTGGATGAAGGAAACAGACACGATCTACAAGTAAGCCACAAAAAATACTTACTTAGTACTGACAAACATTAACGTCCTTTCTTTATTACATACTCTTAAGGTAGGATTCTTCTCACATTTCTTAAAGTATTTAAAAATTAATGAAATTTTCACAGAATCAAGAGGACAATATCACTAAGTGTTGGTATCAGTGAGATTACATTTGACCGTTTAATATTAGAAGCAAGGTCAGATCAAGGTCATTACCTTTTTCCTGGACATTAAGAATAAAAAATACTGTTTCCAATCATGCGACCCCTACTTGTAATTCAAAAGATTGAATGTTTTTCTTTTTGCAAAAATAGATAATACCATATAGGGCCTATATGATGATATTTCCAAATTGACATGGATAATTTTAATAAAATGGATATTTGCTAATCCGATTTCCTCTGCTTTTCTTAATTTTTTTTAGGATTTATTAGTTATTTTTATATGCTTCCTATAATGAACTTTTTCCAATTTTCACATATAGTAAAGTTGTCACATAAAGGTACAAAATGATACAAAAACTAAAAGTTTTGATCGTTTACTAAGAGAGAAATAACACTTTTTACGATTTTTTTGGCTCAAATCTGTACTTAGATTTGAAGCATTTAAAAGCCAACATGGTTCTAGTATGTGTGAAAAATCTTATTTATTTGATATATTTTGAAACTTTAGTCCCTTATCATTAATTTAACTTACATTTGAAAATTTCGTCTAGTCTTTGACTGCGTAAAAATTATAACTAAATTCAACGTTCTATAATAATTTTGACAGGCAGAAAAGAAGATGTTTACACACGCCACCATTCCGCCAAAAATATAGTCCCTGAAACTTTTCAAACGCAGTTTACCATTTCTATTTAAAGTTGTATAATTGTGATGAGGAAAGAAAAATATGGTCTATTAAATCTCTTACATCTAAATATATAAGACATATCAACAAATGTACTTTGAATATTCCATCTAGTCAGAAACCAGAGAAGAATCCTACCTTAGGTGCTCATACACGGAAGAGTTCCCATTTCATGATTTTTTTTTTATATTTGCAAAAACTGTCGTTTCATTGAACTAAAAAGAAGCTAACTGTGTATAAGAATTAAGGGTAAGCATCTCCCGTTTAACGGTTATTTCCGCTGTATTGAGAAAGAAAACAATGTTATCTGTAGTCAAACTATATGTTATCAAACAGGGTCATTATAATTCTTATAACCATTCAATTCGCAAAATGCTTTCTTCAGTTAGATTTAATATGGAAATTTCTATAACATCATCTTATTTTTAAAATCATGTTTGTTTTAAAATTGAATGTACTCACAGAAACTTTCAATCTTGTGTACGGAAGACATTAACACCTAACAAGAGGCCCATGGGCCACATCGCTCACCTGAGAAATGTGGATAGGAAAAAAGCAGAAATCGGTTTATTATTGAAAAGTTTAAATCCAGTAGTGGTCTAAACCAATCCTTAAAAGGGAAATGGTATGATTCGAACAAACTTGTATCTTCACTAACTAAGCTTGCATATTTCTTTGATTACCGTGGCTTTATTGCCCTTCACATTTGAACTTACATTGTGGCCCCTTCCTATATAAGGGGTCATGACTTGAACAAGAATTCTTCCATATGAAAAGGACTAATCATGGCTTTGCTAATCTTGAAAAGAACAATTTTAAAGATTTTTTCTACATGTTTCTATGTAAAACTTGGATTCCATGTTGTGGCCCCGCCCTACCCCTTGAAGGCATGATTTGAACAATGTGCGAATTTTGCCTCGTTTTAGTGGACGACTTAAAGTACATCGACTCGCACAACGGGATATCGAGTTAGTACTGCCCAACTTAAACGCTACAAAAATTGAATGTCCACTACCTGAGGATGCTTCCATAAAAATATGATCATTGATGCCTTTGCTATTCTTAAGAAGAAGATTTTTAAAGAATTTTCCTATATATTTCTATGTAAAACTTTGATCGGCCATTTTGGCCCCGCCCTTCCCCCAGGGGTCATGATTTGAACAAAATTGAATCTACACTACCTGAGGATGCTTCCCTATAAGTTTCATCTTTCCTGGCACAGTGGTTCTTGAGAAGAAGATTTTTAAAGAATTTTCCTATATATTTCTATGTGAAACTTTGATCGGCCATTTTGGCCCCGCCCTACCCCGGGGGGTCATGATTTGAACAAACTTGAATCTACACTTCCTGAGGATGCTTCCCTATAAGTTTCATCTTTCCTGGCACAATGGTTCTTGAGAAGAAGATTTTAAAAGAATTTTCCTATATATTTCTATGTAAAACTTTGATCGGCCATTTTGGCCCCGCCCTTCCCCCGGGGGTCATGATTTGAACAAATTTGAATCTACACTACCTGAGGATGCTTCCTTATAAGTTTCATCTTTCCTGGCACAGTGGTTCTTGAGAAGAAGATTTTTAAAACATACCATCAAATTTTCATTATTTCTTAATTATCTCCCCTTGAATAAGGGCGTGGCCCTTCATTTGAACAAACTTGAATTCCCTTTACCCAAGGATACTTTGTGCCAAGTTTGGTTGAAATTGGTCCAGTAGTTCTTGAGAAGAAGTCGAAAATGTGAAAAGTTTACAACGACGACGACGACAACGACGACAACAACGACTACGACGACAACGACGACGACAGACAACGGACAAATTTTGATCAGAAAAGCTCACTTGAGCCTTTGGCTCAGGTGAGCTAAAAAGATGAAGGGTTACTACATTTTACAAAGACAAACGCGTAGTTTTCATATATATGCAAAATATGAAATATTATGCAAAATTTTGTTAAGAAATGAATGTAATATTTTAAAATTTGGACGGAAAATATATATCTTAATAAATATTGAAAACTGAAAGGAGATAAACCAAGTGTTAGTATTTCAAAGATGCAATTGTAATAATGAGCTAAACACGATGTAGTAAATAATTTTGTCATCTCTCCTATGCTTTAGCCTGAAGGTATTAACAAGATTGCTTCCAAAAAAGGAAAGGTTTTTGGAGACACACATGACAGCCATAAACTGACACCGGACCAGATAGATGAATTAAAGAGCGGGGTAAGACTTGCACCTCTGGGTCACTGTAAGCCAACATCCCAGGCCGTTTGAACTTTGTCTTATTTTGTTTTTGGTTTCTTTTGGGATTTAGATGGCTTTTTCTTTATGTAATTAATATTCCGTTATTTCATTAACATTTTTTTTTTAATTTTTCATCTTTTGAAAACTCTCAACACTATTTATAAGAAAAAGTATTTGGATGAATAAAATCAAATTCATAGAGTTTTAAAACAATTAACGTAAGACTGATGTGCTTTGAAAATGTGAATACCATGTAATATTAACTCACAACAAAAAAGTTCTGTTTTTATTCAGAATGCGCTAATAATGCAATGACAATATTGTCGAGCTCATCAGTTGAACTGGACAGACGAAATAGATTTACATGTAT